GGTTTAGTTATAGTAGTGTTATATAATTTAATAATTAAAAAAATGTTAAACCTGACGAGCCGAACTTAAGCTCGACTCGTTGGCAACGAGCCACGAGCTCGCACGAGCCGAGCTTATGTGGGTATCGGCCTAGCGGCTCGACTCGGCTCGGCCCGGCCCATTGACACCTTTAATTAGAAATCTGTTAAAAAATTTAATTATGGTACGGAATCGAATAGAACCGAACCAAACCGAGCAGAATGAAACCGAACTCGAACGGTTCCATAATTATATTTGGACTTGACGGTTCCATTTATTAAATACCTAAAAATTTCGATTTGGTTCTCTTTAGAATTGAACCGAAACGAATCGGATCATGTCTAGCCCTATGTGATTGTTTGAAATTTGATTTATTTTGTTTTTTCATATATAAGAATGTTGGGCTAAAAGTGCCAAAAATAATGAGGAATGTGAAAAATAAATTTTAAAAAAATGTATAATTATAAATTATTGAAAATAAAATTGATTTAAAAAAAATCATTTCCATACATATATTTTAGTCTCTGTTTGGTGGGAATTAAAATTAGAATTTTAGTGAATTTTGATAAAAATTATTGAAATATGTGGTTAAAAAGTTGTGGGATCCATAATATATGTGATTAATATTGATTATTTGACTTTAACTTAGGTTAAAATCTAATTTAAATCTATATCAAACATGTGTTAAGGTAGCTTACTTCAAAATATTTCTACCAAAAACGAAAGTAAAATTATGTCAATCGAGTCCTAAGGGTGAAAATAATAACAATCGATTAAATGAGAAAACACTTCCAACTTTATTCATTAAATTTAATGAGAACACAAATTCATATTTTGTAATAATCCAATTTTTTAAGTAATTTTCTTCGTGTTGAATCCGCCTAGTGTAAAATATAAAAATGTAAACACAGCCGGAGAGAGAGAAAAAAAAAAAAAAGTTAAATTTTTTTTGTTAGTGCTACTTGTGTCAATTGCCCTTTATTCCCCCCATTGCAGCAGGCCCATCCAAGCCTTTTCAAAAAACGCCCTTAAGCCCTGTCCTCAGCAGCAATATTTGTGAAGCTTTCGGCTTTTGGTGCAACAGTTCCAACAATGGCGTCCGAGTCTTCTCAGAAAAACAAGGCCAGGCGAAAATTGAAGAAGGGAGTCCGAGTCGACCTGGAGAAGAATCTTGAACGATTTGACTCACTTCCATGGAACTCCTCGCTCCCCGAAAATGATGGCAGCAACTACGACCCTTACTCTGTATTCATTGGCTCAAACGAACTCGAAGGAGGTAGAGACTATAGTATTAGCTTCCTCCACTGCAATTCATTGTTCAGTTTCAGTAAAACGATATTTAATCGTATCCCCTAGAAAATTTATGAATTTCAGTTCAGAAATTTGAGAAAAAGGTGCACTTTAGGTTTGCTTTCATCTTAAAAAGTTTTTCTTATTCGCTCAAAATTTAAATTTATGCATTTATTTAATGAATTTTGCTCCTTTTTATCAGTTGAAAAGCTAATGTTTCAGATTTTGGGGGGTGGTGTGGGGGTGAGCAACATAGGGAACCAGCAATGCACGAAGGTCCCTCAGGTTAAAAAGTTATTGCTAGAAACTGGCGATTATAAGCACAATGAAGATTTGGAACTTGGAAGTGCTTATAAATTTAGAGCTGGAGAAGTAAAATTGTGTCTAAACAGAGTTCTTTGGAATTATGAATATATTGTAAGAAAAAATGATATGTGGGATTATGAAATAAAAAGAGTGGAGCAATTTGAGTGCATTATGACATTATATATGCCACTATCATGATTTTGAAAGTTTGTTGTTGTGCACAAGACAAACAGAAGCTTGAATTTTTCAGCCCCAAGTTTTGACAGGAGGATTAAGGAAGAACTGTTCCTCTGATTTCTATGATTTATTCAAAGTGGATTGGTTAAGTGCTTATCTTTAAATGGAAAATTCAAGTAAATAATTAGAAAATTAGAACCGTGTGTAAATTAGAAGTAATTTTAAGAACTAGAATACAAAAGGCACGTTCTCCTTCTTCCCCTTATTATGTAAAATAAATGTTAGCTTATTGGTTATTGAGGCTTAACTTTTATTGATTTTTTTAACAAATGCAGGTTTTCTAACTCTTGAAGAGATTGATGAATCAGAGTACGGACTGGAAATTCCAAAAATTGATGTTGAAAATGAAAACAAGAAGGTAAAAGGAAAGGTAAAATCAAAGAAAAGAAAGGTAAGTGAAGGTGATGAGAATGACAGCGCTAGTGGTGAGGCTGACGGCAAAACTGATGGTAAGGATGGAGGAAAGGAACTGGAGGACGAGAAGAAGGAACTGAAATGGAAGAAGGAAAAGAAGAAACGGAAGAAGAAGAAGAAAAACAAGCATGAAAAGAATGAAGAAGCAAATAAACTAAAGGAAAATGTAGAACCAGCAGAACCAGTGTCTGGTTAGTATTACATTCTATTTAGAATTTTTTTAGGCAATTGAAGTATGGTATTTTAATTTTCATTCAGCGTGGTATTTAGGAATATTTTGATAGCATAATTTGATTTATTGTAAATGATATGATGCAAGTGTGTAGTTATATTAGTGAGTAGCTGTTTAAAGTTGGTTTTCTTATAGTTTTAGTTGGAGTTCTGCACTTGCTTATTCTTGGTAGTTTATGAGTTAACTGCAGAATTTTATAATTATTCTGCTATTTTTGAGCTTGAAAATAGCAAGCCATTTGACTTCCCCGTGATGCTTTACTAGGCCGCTACTACATGTTTCTGTGGTTAATTGTTTACGCAATTGGTTGTTGACTAGCAACAAAAAAATTTATAATTCCGGAACTTTCATAGCTTAAACTGTACGCTACTGATGATTTATGAATTTCTTATCACTTTGGTTTAATTTATTGTTAGCATCAAAAGGAGGTGTTGCTGTTACAAATAAAAAGCATTTAGCCCCTGTTTGACACCCTTTTTTTTGGGTAGAAAACTCATTTTTCTACAGTTACGTACCAAATTCTAGGGGCTGTGTCAGAATTCCAAATAATTTCATTATTCCCGTTGAAACTTCCTTCCACTTTTGCCCTCAAATTATAAATGAAATTTCCCACAAACCCCCCTCACCTTTTCACCTAACTTTGAAGGGCAATTTCGGGAAAAAAAATGTAAATGGATGAAAAGGTCACTTCTCCCAGAGGCTGAGGGACCAATGTCAGATGAAAAATGATAGAAAATGTACTGGGTCCCACGACTGTTGACTTTAATTTGGTACGTATTGTCCGAAGGAACTGTAGCAAAATGAGAAATTCACCCAAAAAATGGGTTTCAAACAGGGGGTTAATAGAAATGGCGTTATCTAGTTTGACATGTGAATATTTCTATGATTTCTAACTTTATCATTTTATGTATCAATTCCAAATTGGTTTGATAACCTATAGTTTTAGGCTTTTGTCTAATGAGTTATCTACTTCTTGGTCTAGCTTCAAGGCCAGCTTCATTAATTTCATAATTGGATTCAGATGATTAGACATCTCCTTGCGTTCTAAAATGAGTTTGATCTACGTTCATGAGGGAGATTTGGCAATTACCTCATTTCTATCTCTATTATAGGAAGCTCAGATGCATTACTTTTTTTGAGCGATTGTGAGTTGGCCATACAGTGTATTGTTATTAAGAACGGTAATGATGTTGGGAAAACATTGGTTGTCAGAAGAGATTAGTTTGATTAGAATTAGATTGTTCACCGTTTTATGATATTGATATGGCCTTAAAAGAGTATCTCGTGACCTACGATTTTGGTGTCAGTTATTGATGGCCAAGATGGTGTTGAAGAGGATCCAGTTGATGATGCTGAGTACTACGAATGGAATGAACTGAGACTTCATCCCTTAATTATGAAATCAATATACAGGCTTAAGTTCAAAGAGCCTACGCCAATACAGAAAGCATGTATTCCTGCTGCCGCTCATCAAGGGAAGGTAAGTTTCTCATCAATGTTTGGTTTTAGTATTACATTATGTAGTGGTGGGGAAAATGGCTTGTTATTGACGCTAGTCTGCTGGTGTGACAGGATGTAATTGGTGCCGCAGAGACAGGATCTGGGAAAACACTTGCATTTGGTTTGCCAATTTTACAGCGGCTTCTTGAAGAACGGGAAAAGGTAGATAGACTTCTGGCAGAAAAAGGAGAGGCCAATGAGAGAATCGCTCCAGAAAGCGTTGTACGGGCGCTCATTGTTACTCCTACGAGAGAGCTTGCACTTCAGGTACTTATGATTGCTTCTTTGGTGCCATTTCACTATTGTGGAATAGATAGTTATGTTTTGGAAACATAAATTATACTTCTCTGAACTACTTTTTACGAAACTTGGTATGTCATTTAATTTTACAATAACTTAATGCATTAATATTTGTTACTATGCAAGGTCACGGACCATCTCAAGGAAGTAGCAAAAGGCACCAATGTTCATGTGGTTCCCATTGTCGGTGGAATGTCAACAGAAAAACAGGAAAGACTGTTGAAAGCAAGGCCTGAAATTGTTGTTGGAACTCCAGGGAGGCTGTGGGAACTTATGTCAGGTGGAGAAATTCATCTTGTAGAGGTTAGACTTATATTTTCCGAAATTGATTGTATGGAGGGAATTTTTCATTGTCTCGTTAGCATTGAGAAACATACAAAGTTAATAACAATTGTCTTCCTTCCTAATCAGACTCAGAATTCTATTATGACATTTCCCTTGTTGTAACTGCTGACTTTATTGCCTGTATGAGCTAGGTGGAAGTATTACTAGTTTTTCACATGTTCTACAAGGAATCTGAATCCATTGCCAGAGGATTGTTTTGCCAAAAAAAGAAAAACACAAAAAACACTAACGACTGATAAATCTAATACTGCAGATCTGTGCAGGGGGCTTAATGATAGTTGAAATTCTGATAATGATGAAGTCTGAGGATAAGGGGCTATCACAACAATCAGTCAGTTGACCTGGTTTCTTCATCCCTCAATCCTTTCTGAGCCCCACTTTCCCTGATCAGCCTGCCACCTATGTGATCTTTTAGGCCGGGGGTGGCAGGTGGGCAGTAGGAGAAGGGAATGAATGATGGGAGGGGGAGTTTGTTCCCTTTAATTTCTTAACAACCTAATGTCCGTTTCTTTGGCATCACATTTCCACCAGCTATATGCTGAAGTGGTTAAATACCTGCGCTACATTATTACTCTTAGTAATTTAACTTATCTATTAGGGTCCGTTTGATTGTAAGGGTGAAAAATTGGTGGAAAGAAAATGAATTTCAAATAAAGTAATTGTCTAGAACTTGTTTTGCAGGGAATTGTTAATTAAGTGCATTTGATTGATATAATTTTTCACCCGAAAATTTTTAAAATTTTGGATATTTTTGTGTTCGTTTGACTTTGTTTCATGAGAAAATTGATAATTTTTTCCACAATTGGTTATAAAATTTGTTTTCATTGTCAAACAAAAAAAAAAATATTTTCTAGAAAATCATTTTTTTATCAAAATTTAGTATTTGTTTGACTTTTTTTTACATGAAAATTGTCTGAAAAAATTTTTACAATTGGTTATGAAATTTGTTTCCATTACCCAAAAAAAAAAAA